CGGCTTGCCTGCCATGGCCCTGGAGGCACTTCCTGTCAGCCTCGGCTAGAGAAAAGAGCCAGCTTCTCGGAGCACGCCGGCGTCTTTCCCCCCCTTCTCTCTATGTATGAAAGAAAGAGCTCGCCTCGCTCGGAGCGTTTGGCGAAGCACACGAGTTTTGCAGTCAGAGAGGGAGGCGGCGGCGAAAAGGACGCGGCGGCAACGGCAGGATGCTGCAAGTCAGGACCTTGCATTGAAGCAGCCCGGGGGGCACGTAGCCACCTCCCTCCAGCCCACCTTGAGGATTTGCCTTTTGTTGTTGGTATACTTGGCTTCAGGCACTCCTGTGGCCGCCTTCCCTTTGCCTTCGAAGGTAAAGTGAATTATTTTAAACACCTCCGCTCATCCCGCCAGGGCCGCGGCAGAGCCGTACGGGCTGGGCAGAACCAGGAAACACCCGCGGCTTGCTTTCCCGGCTCTGCTCAGCTCGCACGGCCCTGATGGGATGAGCGGAGGTTTTTAAAATAATTCACTTTACCATCGAAGGCAAAGGGAAGGCGGCCACAGGAGCGCCTGAAGCCAAGTGTCTCCTCAGGGTTCCGGTTGCAGGGAGGAGCCCTGACTGGCTGCACGTGGCTGCGCCAAACGCCGCGGCGTTGCTGTAACGCTATGGCAGCAAGGGAGAAGGGAAATTAACAGTGGCGGAAGGTCTCCCGATATGAAGTGCTCCACCAACGCAGGCAGCACCATATCCGGGCATGCAACAAAGTACTTCCTAACGGCAAGCCTTCCCCCCCCCATTTCGCATGTTTAATATGGGCCTTAATTTGGGGGGAGGGGCTTAATTTGATTTTATGCCAATAAATCATGCTGGGGCTTCCTATTGGTGGAGGCCGTATTGTTGGAGAAACACGGTATTCCATTCTCTCCTATTTCCATTCCATTCCATTAACATTGCGGCGGTCTCAATCAGCTTTTGGAATGTTGTTGGCTGTCCCGGAGCTTCCTCCACACATGCAACAGCCTCGATCAAGGGCTCCGCGTGTCTGGCAGGCAGGATCTGACCGGGCAGGCATCGCTTGGAGCAGATCAGGCGAGGAAATCCCAAGGTGGGGGCTCAGCGGACGCTGAAATGTGAGTGAGCTAGGGAGTGAGCGCCACAACAGCCATCCCACCGTCTTATTTCCCCCACCGCCGCCACTTGGATGCCCTTCCTGCCTCCCTCTCCAGGAGCAGAGACAGACGTTCTCCTTCAGAGCCAGGCAGGCAGCCTCACTGGCCACTGCCCTGGAACTGCCAAGTGGGAGAAGGACGGGCAGCCCAGCAGCGGCGGCAGGGGACTTGGAGTACCCTTGCCCCACCCCGATCCTCCCAAATGAAACGGGCGGCCTTTGGTAGGCAGTGACGGTGGCGCTGGGCGGCAGCGTACCAAAAGGCACACACACACAAACACACACACACATGAGCAGGCGGGCGGAGAAGAAGAAAGCAAGCAGACCTGGGAGTTCCCGTCCTCCCTTTTGAAGCACCTCCGCTGCAGCTTGCTTCTCCTGGGTGGCAGAGTCGTCGTCGTCATCGCTCCAAAAGGGAGGGCAGGAACTCCCGGGACTGCTCGCTTCATCCGGCGGCGGCAGCGCTGGCCGGGCGGAGTTGGCAGCTACCGAAAGCAAGCAGCACCAGTGAGTTCCCGGCAGCTACGGGGAGCACCTCCGCCACCCCTCCCAGCCCCAGCGCAGCAGAGAAAGCAAATGGCCGTGGCATGCTCCAGCTGCCACCTTTGCCACATTACCCTGAGGCTCGGCAAAGGCCCCAGATCGGAAGCATGGCAAGGCCCTGGGTCAGCGAGGGAAGGCCCAGGTCGGCGATGGGAGGCCACGGGGTTGTAAGGGGAGGTCCGGGGAGGGCTGGGCCTTCCAAGTGGTGGGAGGGAAGGAACAAAACAAAAAGCAACTGGTGGTGGTGTGGGAAAGGCGACCGGGTCTTGCACTCACCCAGGGAGATAATCAGATCAGGCAAGGCTGCAGCAAAAGGCAGGCAACAATGGCTGGCTTGGCAAGCAGGCTGCAGGCATGTCGCGCATGCGCACAATATTGCACATGCGTGATAGGGACTGACCGTGCAGGTAGCAGAGAAGCAGGTGGAGGGGGCGGGGCCAGCCAGAGGCGCGACTTACCGGTTCTTCGAACTAACGGGAACCGTAACAACCGCTTCTATAGAACTGGTCACCATAACAACCGCTTCTATAGAACTGGTCTGAACCGGTAGAATCCCACCCCTGCAACCATTCCAATTTTCATAGCAAAATACCTCACTTTGCTCTAAAATCACAGATCTAAGCATTTAGGTCTATTTATAACCAGCAAGTGAATAACCACTTCTTGTATAGCAATTAGACCCTTGACTTCATCAATGCAAAACACAAAGAGACAATTTGTAAGACAGGTAGCCACAAAACCATGATTTATATTTAAACCATGAAAACTGGCTTAATGATGTACATCAGCAGCAACATAGGCTTTTTATAACAGAAATTTAATTTTAGAGCAAAATAAAATAGGATATAAATTAAACACAGACACACACACACAGAGAAAGAGAATTTGGTTTGTTTATATTATGAAACTTAGATAAAAAAACAAGCAGACACATACTGAAAGTAGAGGTGCTTAATTCTTTAGTCTCCTTTTGAAAAATGTAGGCTAATGGCCAGAAATTACTTCAAGGAAAATTGCACTAGATTCCTAATAGTGATTTAGACATAAGTAGTATTGGAAGATGACAGTCTATATATAGTTTGTTGGATGATCTCATGAGGATGAGTGAAATGCTGGCTTTTAATTTTGTTTTATTTTGTTTTATTGGAGTTGCAAATCACCTAGAATTATACTGTATCACGGGAAGCCACATAGATATTTTAAATAAATAAATAATTAAAACATCCTATATATTATAAATAATATTTTAAAGTATTATATCTTCATATACTTCACCTTTAGAAGAGGTTTCATTTCCAGATATTGCCAAATTAGCATCTCCAGTTTTCTCTTTTACTGATGAAAAATGGATAGGTAATGAGGCTGAGGAGTTTGCAATCAAGGGGCCCTAGAATGTAAAGAATCTTGGATATCTTAAAATATATATGCAAATGCAACACACACATATAGACACACTCATATATGCACACTAAATGGGCAAAAATAAAAGAGGAATGAAATGCACAGAACAGAGTCAATAATAATTACATGAAGTATATTTATCATTAAGTATTTATCATTAAGTTAGCTTAAAATCTGAATCAAGTCAGATTAAAATGTGGATCTGATTCTTATAGTCAATTTTCTTGGGGTATTTTGTACCACATGTAAAAGTTATAATACTCTGCTAACCTCAGCACCAGGACTTTCAGAAAGTGCTCTTCTTTCAGATTTCGTCACCTGATCATTTAATCTTGTCTCAGAAGATGGTGCAGATAATGAAAACAGCCGATGGTGGTTAGGAATTCTTCCCTCTGCCTTGGTTCCTTCGTAATCTTCCATATGGTTACTTTTCCTCAAAATACTTCTAGGTTGAGGAGATGGCTTTGAAAAATCATATAATGCAGGAATGCTTATATTTTCAGCTGAGAAAAATATAAATATTTAATTATTACCTACTTCTAAAAAGGTTCATTTAGATTAAATTTCAATTCCACAAATGCTGTCTTCAGTTAGCTATACACTGTAGTCAGAATTTCAAACATCTGCTAATAATATGTGTCCAAAGGGTTGTTATATTCTGGGACTTTCTGATAGATATGAGATTGTATTTATTTCTAAAATTCATTTCTTTGTATCAGCAAGTAGGCCTTTTTTGAAAGTAATTAATTTCTGCAGTAGCACGCTAATCTGCAATTCAGATAAACCATCTGTTCCTCATTGCTCCTTATATATTGGGTGAAACTTCAGCAACCATATAAAAGAAAAAAAACCCACCAGTTCTATAATTCTACATGACATGGTTGCCTTGTAAGCTTGCTCCCTTCTTCACAACCATAAATAATTCCTTAAATCCCTCCTCCCTGCCAAATTAGGTATTGTAGCTATAACCTGATATCTTCTCTGGCTAATAGTGCTAATACATCATGGTGCAACCATGTTGTTAAGGTTAAGTTAGCCATGAAGTTAAGGTTAATATCTTTGGTGAAACTAAACCCACCTTTTCTACCCAAGGTGTTAAAGTCAGGCTGAATCCTCACTTGATTATTATTCACCATTTTCATTAGCAATGTTGTTGCTAAAACCATAATTCTAACCTCCTTCCCTTGCCTACCACTTCATCTTCATCTAATACAGATATACTGTTTGTAACCCAACCGGATCTTAAAATTTTATCATTCTGCTGCTCTAGCAAACACTTCAAAATAAACTAATCTAAAAAAAAAGAAAAAAGAATTCCAATACAAGGACTCTAGAATAGGGGTGTCAAACTCAAGGCCTCCAGAGCTGCATGATGCTTAGATCTGACCCGCAGGTCTGCACTGGAAACAGCAAAGGACCGGCCTGTGGTGCCTCTGCCAGTGAAAATGAGCTTGGGAGGACCGCATGCAGCCCCGAGTTCCGTTTTTGCTGGCAGATGGTTGCAGAAGGCTGTTGCAGCCAAAAACAGAGCTCAGGAGCCCGTTTTTGCTGGCAGTGTGTTCAGGCCACCACAGGCACCCCAAACATGAGTGACATCGAGCTGGCCATGCCCACCATGGCCCGTCGAGGTCAAACACAACCCTGATGTGGCCCTCAATGTAATCGAGTTTGACACCTCTGCTCTAGAAAATGCTTTAAGGCTCCAATTAGATGGATGAGCTCCAATTAGACTCATTGAGCCAATAAAATCATTTGATTTTCTAGGTTGTCTATTTTCAATCTTATATCTGCTGGGCTATTAAAACAAGATAATTTCTAGTAGGAACCCCAAAAGCTTCTCTTAAAATTGTCGGAAATGCAGGTTAATTTGGTAGTAATTATTTTTCAATTCTTAAACTATTAAAAGCCAACATTCTCCCAGCATTTTGTTCTATGGTGGTCACTAAGTAGTTAGATATTTATTTATTTATTTATTTATTTATTTGATTTGCCAATTGTTTACAAGATAATAAGTATAAATGTATACATAGTTGTGAATACATGAATGGGTACATATAAGAAAAATAAAAGAATAAGAGAAACAATAGGACAGGGACGGTAGGCACGTTGGTGCGCTTATGCACGCCCCCTACAGACCTCTTAGGAAAGGGGTGAGGTCAATAGTAGACAGTCTAAGGTTAAAGTTTTTGGGGTTTGGGGAAGAAACTACAGAGTCGGGTAGAGTATTCCAGACATTGACCACTCTATTGCTGAAGTCGTATTTCCTGCAATCAAGTTTGGTGCGGTTTACTTTGAGTTTGTATCTATTGTGTGCTCTTGTGTTGTTATGGTTGAAGCTGAAGTATTCATTGACAGGTAGGACATTGCAATGTATGATTTTATATACCATGCTTAAGTCAGACCGAAGACGGCGTAATTCAAGGTTTTCAAGTTCTAGAATTTCAAGTCTGGTGGCATAAGGTATTCTACAACGAGTGGAGGAGTGGAGAACTCTTCTTGTGAAATATTTCTGGACTTTCTCAATTGTGCTAATATCAGATACGTAGTGTGGGTTCCAGACTGATGAACTGTATTCGAGTATTGGTCTAGCAAATGTTTTGTATGCTCTGGTTAGTAGTGTGATATTACCAGAGAAAAAGCTACGTAGGATTAGGTTAACAACTCTTAATGCCTTTTTGGCTATGTAGTTGCAGTGGGCTCTAGCACTTAGATCATTAGAGGTGAGTATTCCAAGGTCCTTTACAGAGCTTGAGTCATCAACAAGATCTTGACTATATGAAGTTCAGCTAGTTACAGTTTAAAATGTACTTTCCTAGTTCAGTGCTGTTGTAACTTGAAATGATCACTAAATGAACTGTTGTAAGCTGAGGACTGCCTATATACTGCAGCCTTGTAAGCGATCCTACGTTATATCACGTGGCAAAGTGGCAATGCTTTAATTTGCAAACAAATTAAACAAAACTTACTTTGTCAAATAAAAAGACAATGATTTTTCTCCCTGTCAAATACATATATTCAAAGAATTAAAATTGTCTTTAAATAGAAAAAAACAGTTTATCAAACTATTTTGTTTTAAAATATTTTTAGCAATCTGGGAATTACACAATTTAAGCAATAATATTTAAATACATTTCCTTTACCTGATGCTGATGCAGCCTTAGTCTTGAACTCCCTTGGCTTTGGCACTGGCTTGCTTTCCATTTTATACTGGATCATATCCTTTTTCTCTAATGACAATTCACCCCTAATTGTTTCCTCTATATGACTGTAGTCTTCTTCACGATCAGATCTTTCTTCAATAACTGTATCATCTTCGGTGTCTTTGATCAAATGTTTATTTTCTGATGTGGTTGCTTCTTGAGGCATTTCTTCATAGTTTGTTAATGTCAAGTTACCAACAGTTTGTTTTCCAAAAGAATAGTGATTTGACAAAGATATTTCAAATGGACTGGATTGTTTTGCTGTACTCCTTTTACATGATCCAGGGTGTTCAGTAAGCGAAAAGGGAATAGTTTGCCTCTCTTTGCTCAAAACTTTTCTCTCCAGAATGGACACATATTGAGATCCCTCATATTCCTCTGATGAAGACAAGTCATCGGCACTTTCACTTTTTAAAGTGTTACAAAGATTAAAGTTAGATGGTGATACTGTAAAGACTGCTGATTTAGGAGAGATGTTTTTCTCAGATTCAGGAAATTCCTCTTCTGAGTCTGGAAAAAGATCGACATGTCATGTATAAAAGAAAGAGCAACAGATGCAAAGTTAAAGAATGATTTTCACAGCAATGTGTACTTAACACTTTTTTTCACACTTTCTGGTGCCAAGCATAAATCAGCTCACTAGCTCTTCAAAGTGATAAATAAATTATGTGAAACAAATTGTCAAAACATGGTATGTTGCAATTCAAAGCATAATTTTATCTGTGAACCAATTAACATAAATTGTACATCTTGTTATAGTTCAGTATAAAAAGACAATATTCATGATATCATTTTCAACCAACCGTTCAGTTTATCTAGCCACCCATCCCACATTCATGATTCTGTGCGTCTAACAATTGAAGCATAAAGAATATAATAAAACATTTTAAGAAGCAACCATACAAACAATACAAATGCTGAACACAATTAAAAATCATACAGCACAATCACCTGGAGTCCTGTTGCTGGATCTACCAGATAATACTCTCTAGTGGACAAAACCTCTAACAAACTTCTTCTGCTAGACTTGATGGTACAGATAGATGTCACTGTGGAAAGGTGGTCCCTCAAATAATCTGGACCCATGCAGATTGAGTTGCTTACAGAATCACAGATTCACTTAGAGATCTACTATTCTGCAATCTGCTACCTGAGTCTGTCACATAAAATTTGCTTGCAAGCAAACTCACAAAATTAACTCACAACACACCATTATATAAATATTATAGGATTTATAGACTATTACCAATATCCTGAATTAGCCCCAGGAGCAAGCTGGTAATCAATGCAGTTTGCAGAGCAGAGGTGTAATATGTACAGATCTAGATATGCACATAACTGCTCACACTGCTTCATTTTGCAGCAATTGAAGCTTCTTGAGTACAGCCCAACGAGAGCCCCAAATAGAGTGCGTTGTAGTAATCCATACAGGAGGTGATCAGGGCATGAGTCAGTAAATGTGGAGCCTCTTGATTCAAGAATAGGTACAACTTGCATATAACTCAAAGTTATTCTTTGAGCAAGAGTTTTAAATCCAGGACTGTGCAGTGCATTGGTCTGGAGAAATGCAATCCAAAACCACAGTGATAAAATTCCTAAAACCAGCTGATCCTTTGTCTTGGCAGGGTTGAGCCTGTTGCTCCCCATCTGAATCTGTTCAACCTCCAGACACTAAAACAGGATTTTGGAAGCATTGCTTACTTCACTATATAGCTGGCTATCAGCATACTGATGTACTTTACTCCACAGCTATGAACGACCTCACTGAGCAGCTTCATGTAAATGTTAAACAGGAGCAGAAAGAGTACCTAATCATGCAACGCCCCTCCCTCTGGAAAGGATCTCTAGCCCTCAATGAACACCAACTATATTTATTTTAAAAATATATTAAAATGTATTAAAAATGAAATCCACAGAGTATAACAGGTAAGTCTTCCTCAACGTACATTCGTCACTTTCAAAGTCTTCTGAATATTCTTCAGTCTCCTGCGTTATTGCACGAGCAAGAAGTGCTTCTTGTAGCTCTTCCTATAATATGTTAATACATAAAAAGTATTATTATGTGAATAAAAACATTATTCGAATATTTTTCAGAATGAATTCAAAAATAGGAGTGTTGCAAACTTTAGAGCCAATTCAATTTTTTTTCCTAAAAAAATTAATCCAACTAATTATTATATCTTTCAATGTATCCTTAATTTTGGAACATGTGTGTGTGTGTGTGTGTGTGTGTGTGTGTGTGTGTGTGTGTACATATATACATATACATATACACATACACACACACACACACATATATATATACATAAATGCAAACACATACATACATATACATACATACACACATACACATGAGATATAGATATGGAATATATAGCAATCATATTATCTATTATATTGTTAAAAGGAGGTGAAAGAGTCCAATTGTAACATCAAAGATATTGCCAGTTCTATGGAACATATCATGAATTCAAAGTTCCAATCTAAAGAAGAAGATAGCTATTCAGTTTCCACAATATGAGTTTGAACATCTATCCACCATTTTTCAAGAACTGCTTTGAAGTCCCAAATGTCACTGATAAAAGCAAGTAAGAAAAAGACTTCCAAAATGAAATATACAGAAGAGAGTAACTAGATCTCAGAATGAACATGGAAATTGCTTGGTTGGAAGAGAAACCAAAGATTTCTGAACTCAAAAGGAGGCTCCAAACTCAAATTGGTAAGTTAAATATGCCAATGGATGGTAGTTGATTTAAAGGAGATCAAATGAAAATGGAAGGAGTATACTGAAATATTGTATAGTAGAGATGTAACATCCAAGATACCATAGAACAGGGGTCGCCAATCTTTTGGACCTCAGAGACCACCAAACTCATAATTTTAGATCCCAGGGACCATTAACTGGTTCTGTGGGCATGGCCTAATTTGTGGGTGTGGCTTGGTGGTCATGTGACTAGCTTGTATGTAAATATTATAAATATTTATATAAATATTGATTTTTTTAATAAAAAAGAGCAACTTTTACCCAAAATCAGGCAAAGCAGGCAGATTGAGTTGCTCACAGAATCACAGATTCATTCAGAAATCTATCTATCTGCCATTGGCTAGCTCACCCTGTCACATAAAATTTGCTTGCAAGCAAACTCACAAAACATAGGTTTATAATACACCTTGTATATAAAAAAGCAACTTTTATCCAAAATCAGGCAAAGCAGGCAGATTGAGTTGCTCACAGAATCATTCCGTTATCTATCTATCTGCCATCGGCTAGCTCAGTCTCTCAAATTTGCTTGCCGTGAGTCTGCACTGAATTTGCTTGCAAGAAAACCTTCAGTCCTAAGGGAGGTTCGGCTGTGCTTAACTAGAATCTAAATCTAAATCTAATCTAAATCTCCCAGCATAGCAGAATAGATGATGGTTGGAAAAAGGAAAAATAGCAACTTAGCAGACAAGTTTGCCAAGTAAGGAGTGAGTGGGTGGGGAGGGTTCCCGCAGGTCATGTGGGCTGAGCAGCCTTGTTTTTCTGTGCAGCCTGGATTAATTTTTTTTGGGGGGGTGTTCTGGAGGTGAGATTTCTCTGCGGCCCACCAAAATTTTCTCACGGCCCACCAGTGGGCCCTGGCCCACTGGTTGGCGACCGCTGCCTTAGAAGATATTCCCTACTTACAAGAACTTCTAGTAGTAGAAGATGAAAATAGATCAACATTCTGGTCATTAACAGTCCAGAAGGCTCTAGGAACTGTTAGAATGCCCAATAAAATATGACCAGCAACAGAAAGAATCAGTAAAGTAAAGATTTTAACCAATCTATGCCTGCAAACCTGGAATATGATATAGTAGCCAACATATTGGAAGAGGCCAAATGTGCCAAGTTGGACATTTAGGAAAGAAAAACCCTCGACTCCATTCATTGAAGTGAAAGGTTATTTTACTAAAAGTCAAATGGTTATAGCAAAGGTAAAGTTGGATCTAAGTATTCCTACACAAAGCTTGCAATTTCCCCCTTTCTCTGGCCCTCCCCCTTGACCAATCAATCAGTGTCCAATAGTATTCATTTATTTGTTTTATCTATATATAAAATACAAAGAAAAGTAGAAATGGGAAAATAGGGGAAGGAAAAAGAGAGAGGAAAACAAAATGTAAGATACGAGGGAAAAAAACAAAAAAAAAGTTATCTTTTTAGCACAATACAAGATAAAAACACTCCAGCCTCAACTTTTTGCTTTTACACATTTAGTATATAACTAGCCATTTCTATAACAACACATCTATCTAATCCACAGGAGGGCCACGGTGGCTCACGTGGTAAGATGCTGGGCTTGCGCACCGCTGAGGTCGGCAGCTCGGCGGTTCGATTCCCATGAGTGAATAAATCACATAGGGACAAGAAAGGAACCTTCCCTGAATGCCTAGAGGCATTCAGGCGTCCCATGGGTAAAGATAACACTGCCCGAAAAAAATTCCTTTCACAGAGGCATCCAGCCACCTCAGTGATCCCTGGCTAATGCATGCCATACACTAAATAAATAAGTAAATAAATAAATAACTATCTAATACACAAAACCAAAGTCAGTTTCATTTTTTTTTTCATCACAAGCACAAAATGCAGAAGTGATATCCAAATAAAAACATATTTAAATATATTCTCCTCTTTGAATAAAACGATCAATAGATCAATCAAATGATGAAATCAAATGATCAATGAAAAATGTGATCATAAAAGCGCAGTCCAGCACAATACCACCGAAAAAGAAAAATAAGACATTCAAGAAGAAACACAAAACACAAATGGCTACACAAAGATCTCTCTGACAGACTGAAATACAAAAAGGACAAGTACAAAAAAATAGAAAGAGGGACACGTAAATAAGGCTGATTATCAGCAGATAGCCAGAACATGAAAAGATGAAGTCAGGAAAGCAAAGGCTCAGAATGAACAAAAGTCAAAGATAATTTTAAAAAAAGTTTCTTTCAATATATTAATAACAAGAAAAAAATCAAGGAAACAGTAGGTCTACTAAAGAGAGAAGATGGCAAGGAAATAACAGACAGTAGGGAAAAAGCAGAGCTGCTTAACTAGTTCTTTGCATCAGTCTTCACACAAAAGGAAATTATAGCTCAATGTACCAAAAAAAAAAAATCTACTGTAAAAGACAAACTACAAATAAAAATTAAAATAAGCAAGAAAATGGTAAGAGAACACCTATCTGACCTTGAGGAATATAAATCACCGGGACCTGACAGAGTTCTGAAGGAGCTGGCAGATGTTATCTCAGAACCATTGTATCATATCTTTCAAAAATCCTGGAGCACTGGGGAAGTACCGGAGGACTGGAAAAGGGCTGATGTGGTTCCCATCTTCAAGAAAGGAAAAACAACAGACCCAGGATACTACAGACCAATCACTCTAACACAGTATTGGCTAACCTTTTCGGCACCGAATGCCGAAACGGGAACACATGCGCGGGGGAACACCGAAAACTGGAAGAGCAGCTCCCCAGCACACATGTGCCACCTTCTGATTTCCGGCGTGCATGCACGTGCAAAAACACCAGCTGGGCGGCACACCTCTCGGCACATGCGTCGGAAACTGGAAGCTCAGCTTTCTGGTGTGCACATGCACGCTGGGGAGCTGCTTTTCCGGTTTCGGGTTCTCTTGCACATGCAAAGACCAGCTGGCCGGTGCACATGCGTGCGCCAGAACCCAGAAGAGCAACGGGCGACAGCTGGCATGCCCAGAGAGATGGCTCTGCATGCCACTTCCGGCATGCGTGCCATAGGTTCGCCATCACGGCTCTAACATCAATACCCAGGAAGATCCTGGAAAAGATAATCAAGAAACAGATCTGTGAACAACTAGAAGCAAATAAAGTTATAACTAATAGCCAGCATGGGTTTATTAAAAACAGATCATGCAAAACAATCTTATTTCATTATTTGATAAAGCGACTAAATTAGTAGACCAGGGAAATGCTGAGAACATAGTACTTTCAGATTTCAGTAAGGCATTTGACAAAGTAGAGCACAGCCTACTTCTTGGTAAGCTAGAAAAATGTGAAATAGACACCATCACTACCAAGTGATGAAACAGGCATGTAGAGTAATCCCCCTCCCCCACATGGGTACATCCAACCATCTTTCACTTCTGTCATGCCCAAAGTATGTCCCTCTCAGGAAAAGAACTCAGCCAGTCATGAAAATGGTTAAAATCTGGCCAGAGGGTGCTCTCAGTCAGCTACAGGACTGTTTTGAAACCACTGAGTGGAGTGTCTTTGAACATCAAGACCTGCATGAATACACTGATGCCGTACTCTCTTACACCAAAAGTGTGCACTGACAGTGTAACTATGGACAAGTGCGTCAGAGTCTATGGGAATTGTAAACCCTGGATGACTGCCGAGGTGCGGATACTTCTGAGAGCCCGGGATTCTGCCTTTAAGGCAGAGAGGCGAGGGCAAACCTTAGAAGAGGCATTAAGATGGCAAAGCAACAATACAAATATAAGGTGGAGAACCGCCTAGCAGATAACAACCTGAAGCAAGTATGGCAAGGACTGCAGCACCTAACTAACTATAAGGGCAACACAAGGAACACGGTCAATGCTGACGCCTCGTTGGTAGAGGAGTTGAACATCTTCGCCCGCTATGAGATGAAAAGACCAGTAGCCACTGCCTGCCACTCCCCGTAGCCACTGCCTGCCAGCCTTCTGATTCCCAGCCACTCACCCTCTACGAACCTCAAGTGAGAGCTGCACTGAAGGCTGTGAATCCCAGTAAGGTTGCAGGTCCAGATGGGGTGCCGGGGATAGTGGTAAAGACTTGTGTTGATCAATTAGCAGGGGTCCTGACAAAGATCTTTAACATCTCTCTGCAAACAGCCTGTGTTCCATCATGCTTGAAAGCAGCCACTATTATCCCAGTCCCCAAGAAAACAGCAATTAACTACCTAAATGACTACAGACCTATCACGTTAACGTCAGTAGTGATGAAATGCTTCGAAAGACTGGTTCTCCAACACCTTAGACTTTG